TTTAAACTTTTTGGCGATTTGTAATAATTCTAGTACTCATAGGTACCTAAAATGATTTCGCCACTCACCTTAGAAAAAAATGTAGTAGATTGGATTCTTAGTCGCCGCTTGCAATTCTTCTTCGATTCTCTTAGATACAATAATATCTAGTTCCTTGTCGGATTTTGCTTGTAATTTGTAATTTCGCCACACTTCGTTAACTAACTTTTGTACATTTTGTACTTTCGTACTTGTATGAGATTTTTTAAAACTTTCAAACAATTTTTGGTATAACTTGGATTTGTCTATGTGAAACGACATCTTATTTAAACATTAAACTTTGGCTAATGGAATCAATGGTAACACAAATGTTAACTTGCTTTACTATGCTTACAATACGTCTACTCGGTGTAGTATCCAAACGAGACAATACACTGATAGAGGAAATTTAGACAAGTGAACACCGCGCGGTAATTCCCCTACTCGGTTCTAAAGCGAGTAGGGGAATTACCGCGCGCTGTTCACTAAACGTATGCATTATTTGCGGGAATCCCAGAAAATCCGTGTCGTTTTCAAGCAATGTGAGGGTTGCCATTTGTGTAAAAAAGTAAATAACTTCCGATGACGTAATCATCTAGACTCCCCTACCCCCCATGTCATCCAAAATAAGCAAAGCAATGACCCCCCCGCCTCCTCATAGTGCTCACGTAATACTTGAACGGCCCCAATAACGCTGTAAATGGCCACAAAATTCCAATTTTGCTTATACTAAAAGACTATAACGTGCCATCCGAAATCCTTTTGAGCATTTTGAAATAACGGAAGCACATTAACTAATCCTCTTTCGTTTACTATATTACGACCATTAGATGCGGTATATAATCAAATCGTATTCGATTGGGTTAATTTCGTTGTAATCACTATGAAAAACTGTCGTAAGTATGCGACTAATGATCTCCCAAACATCTTAATTAGTTTGCTACTAAGTGAAAGTAAAAGCACTATCCGATGTAATATGCTATATTTTATAAACGTTAAAGGCAGCCTGACGTATTAATGCAGTAACTTTATTGAGTGAAAATTATAATTTAATTCAATTTTTTCTGATTCAATCTCTTCTACTCAGTACTCGTCCACATAGAAGTAATTTACAGGTAGTAGAGCTCATGAAACTTCTTGGAGTGACTATTGATGCAAGCTTAACTTGGGAATCACACATCACCTCTTTATCAAATAAGTTATCTAAAATAACATATGATATGTACGTAGTTTAAATACCCACGTAACAAAATAGACTATAATGACAGCCTATTATGCTTACTTCCAACCTATCGTGCAATACTGCATACTGATTTGGGGTCATTCATGTCACGTTGCAGTATGACCCGCTTTTGACACAAATGTCGTGACCATCTTTTTCGAAACACTTCCAGAATGGATGACTTTTGTTGGCTTTTCTCACCTTGGAACACCCAAACAGCCGACTGTCGTTTATTTTCTGGTTCATGACAGTAAATCCACGATTCATCACCACTAATAATGCTGTACACATTTCTTGAGTTTCCGGAACTGAAACGGTTAATTTTTTGACACCAATTAACCCTGACTGCTTTCTGCTCTTCAGTCAACAGGTGGGGTATCCAATGAGAAACTAATTTTCTTACTCTAATTCTGATGACTTGGTGATACTTAAAAATTCACTGTAGTGAGAACACTACACGTATTGTTGTGAAACTTTGAATGTAAGTTTACTAAAGAGTGAGGTTAAGATTCAGTACTGACGTTCGATCCGCGCGGCCTACTATGTTTCTATACTATGTGACATATAAATCCGAACACCCAGTTTAAATGGTTTTATTTTAATAAAAGTTGGTGAATGTATTTATCTTACTGTAAATAACAAGTGAAAAAAATTTCAGCCTTATCAGTTGGACATTACGGTTTTTATACTGCTTTTTTTAATTCACTAACGCTCTAAAAATGAATATTTCAGCCGCAGTAAAGAATCAACGTTGGCGGATTTTGGTTCTTGAGATCCTTTACGATCGGTTACGATGCCTAGAGTACGGAGACCTGTACGATTTCGTCAACTTAGTGAGTTTGATAGGGGCCGTATAGTGGGACTTCGGGAAGCTGGACTTACTTTTCGGGCAATTGCAGTTAGAGTGCAAAGAAGTGTAGACACTGTGGTTAGGTGTTGTCAGGCATGGCTTCGAGAAGGCCGCACGCAAAGAGCAAGGGGCACTGGACGCCGCCATAGAACAACAGACCGTGAAGATCGCCGCCTAAGATTATTGGCCTTAAGGGACCGTTTCTCCACTACCAGGTCCATTGCAAATGAATGGTTTGCAGCACACGGAAGACCTACTGGCATGCGAAGTGTTTACCGACGAATGAGAAGTTTTGGCTTGTTTTCATACCGGCCACACTGGGTCCTCCCTTTAACTCGAGAACACCGACGTAATCGCCTTGAGTGGTGCAGACAACGGTCACTCTGGGATCAGGAATGGAACAGTATTGTCCTTAGTGACGAGTCTCGATTTTGTTTAGGCATGCACGATGGTCGTGCCAGGGTTAGAAGGCCCCGTGGTGAAAGGAGGAATCCACAGTTTTTTGTTGAAAGACATGTTCATCACACTGTTGGAGTTATGGTTTGGGGTGCTATAGCTTATGGTTCCAGGTCACCTTTAATCTTCATCAGAGGTAACATGAACGCGCAGCGTTATATCCACGAAGTTCTAGAACCCCATCTTTTACCCTATCTTGACACCCTGGCAGATCCAACTTTCCAACAAGATAATGCCCGACCACATGTTGCAAGAGTCACAGTAGACTTCTTTCAACATAATGATGTCACATTGTTACCATGGCCACCAAGATCTCCCGACTTATCCCCAATTGAGCACGTGTGGGATATGATGGGTAGGAGATTGCTCAATTTGCAACGTCCTCCTCAGACTCTAGAAGCACTTTGAGAGGAGTTGGTGGTTGCCTGGAATGAGATACCACAGGAGGACATTGACCACCTGATCAGAAGCATGCCTAGGCGCTTTGGAGAATGCGTAGCACACATTATTAAAGGTCAAAGGGCTTTAAAGCAGTGCAATCATTTTGAAATTTTTATCATTTACTTATTATGCTTCATTAAGTACTTATACAAAATTTTATTAAAATAAAACCATTTAAACTGGGTGTTCTGATTTATATGTCACTTAGTATATATGCAAAACTTAAAACACATCCCTCGTATTCTCATCAATTTACATGTTAAATTGACCTTAAGCCCATGCTACCCAACATGCTCAGTTTTACCTGTGGTTATGCTCTAGCTATTGTTAGCCGATCACCTTACGGTTGCTTATTATTATGGCACATTACCAGATTCGAACAAATAGCTGACCTCCGGAATGACAAAACCAATGTTAAAATAACGCGAATATTGAACTTCTATTTCGCCGGTCACAGTAAATAAAATGCTCACGTACCTACGAATATCTTGTAAACACATTATGCCTAATAGAAGAGAGCCGTCTGATACGGCAACCATGGCAATCTCGTATCCGTTTTCGGAACAGTGAGTAATATACCTGAAAACTGCCCAGCTCACGAGCGAAATTAGCTCAGGTGTAGTAGCAAAAAGCATCTGTAAATTAAGTGAAACCACCAGCATGTGTTAATAAGAAATGGCGTCAAGTAGCTTGACTCTGCAATTCCCGCGCAACTTTGTCATCAGTGCACAAACGGGTATGTTATTATACTTGCAAAAATCCTCATTAGGACATTTGCGCCTGTTTGTTGGAACAAAGAAATTCAAAATTTGGTTCAATGTCTGAAAGTCTTATATCGGGTTCTGCATTTAATTATTAGACATACTTTGGAAATACACTTCACAGGTCGTGTTCTTACCAGATACTACCATCTATATGCGTCTCCGTTGAATAAGAATTACCGACCACCGGTGGTTACCACTGCCGATTGGAAAGATACCTGTATTTAGATTTGGTTACTAACTGCACTCATTTTTTTTTCTGGTAAAAATATCCATCATGACTAAATTACGATTTTGCTACTTCTAACAAAAAATCCAATTCCACCGTTACCACTTGAAAATTCCGCTACCAATAGCGGAATTCCGCTACTTATGGCGACACTGTCTGTATCTGTGATTCTGAATTATTTGCGGCATTTGCAACGCTGAAACTAACATCCACAATAGTGCATCAAAGTATCTTTCTCTTTTGCCCGAAATATAATGGCAAGGCATTTTTGTTAAAACTTATTAAACATTTATTTATATATATATATATATAACTTGAGACGTGGTCATTGTCGTCTAGACCAGTTAGGTGAAAAATTAAAGCTTCCGCCTTTTGTTGGGTACTTCGACAAAATTTAAGCAAAGAGGACTCTTTATACTTTTTTTAATTCTCTCTAGCTTTCAATGGACTTTGCCATCATCATCAGGAGCTGCAATTACAATGATAACAGTAGCAACAAAAGTGTAAAATGAATTTAAATTGAATCAACTTACAGTAGTATGTGAGGATGTTGCTAATTGTTGTTTTCGTATAGGATGAGGGAAACGTCCAGTAACATGGTGAGAGCTGGATACATGGTACAATGGTTAAAATTATATAAAATATGACAAGACAAGTTAAAGACAGATTAAAAATTATTTAGAAAACATATGAGCATTACGTCGTGAAGCCACTTGATGATTGTACAAAATGGTGGTTATGGAATAATGAGTGAGATGAACCTTTGACAGAAGGCCGAAGGTTGTCAATGTCTGTGTTGAAAGATGGAACGAATTGTGGGCGTGTGCCAAAACGTTGCCAAATCACTTCAGATGATGTGATTTTCAGAATGTTATGTAAGAAATTTTTAAACCGACCAGAGGCAGTTGAATAAACTATATTTTAATTAATGGGAATTTTAAATTAACAATTATTAATAAATCGTGAGAAGAGAATTATTATATTTTGAGTGGAATGAAATTTGTTGGTGTTTTGGCCGATTCCACCACTTTTGAGAATTGCCAGAGGATAAATCGATGAGCTTTTCTTTTTCCAATAAAGATAAAGACGTGTTAGAAATTATATCTCCTTCAAAAGGATTGCGTATCCAGTTGTTAGATCCAGGTTTATTAGGAAAATACCATTTGAACGTTAATTGTCGCTCTTTGAATCTTTTAATGTTTTCGTTAGGTTGAGTTTTATTCTCTGATAAAAACAAAACAATCGTACCCATTCATCTTCAGACATTGATTCCAAAAGTTGTACTTCTTCAGCATGGCTTCTATTCTATCATGAACATTGAAAATGGTGATTCCTGGACATTGTAAAGACATATTTTCATTTAATTCAGAAAAAATATCAGCTAAGTATGAAAGTTTTTGGAGCCGCAGAATGTCGGTTATAAAAGCGGACAAATGAAATGAATGGTCAGGAAAAAATGCCTGAATTTCAGACAAGCGGGTCAAAACTTTGTTACGAGAAAGCCACCTAACTTTTGTATGAAGTAATAAAGAGACGTGGAGACTTCCCAAGTCGTCACAAAGTTCACGGAATAGACGAGAATTTGTAGCACGGGACTTTATAAAATTCTCAACTTTTACGGCTTTGCTTAAAGTACTGGCTAACTCTGCAGGAATACGCTTACATGCCAGTGCTTGCCTATGAATACAGCAGTGAGTCCATTCTATATTCTCGTTGATCTTCTTTGTACGTGCCACAATACCAGAATATGTTCCAGACATTGATTTTGCACCATCTGTGCATACACCTAAGCAAAGCAACCAGTTGATTTCATGTTTTTCAAAATAGTCATTGATCAGATTAAAAATTGCTGCACCAGTCGTATGAGTTTCCAGTGGTTTTGCAAATGACACATCTTCTTGAATGGAATTCTTGAACATACACGAGCAATATTGCACAGTTTGCTACATCGGTCGACTCGTCAAACTGAACAGCAAAATAATTGATAAGGGCACACAAGGTCAATTTTTTGTATGCTTTTTCTCAAAGTATACACATTGCGAAGTCTTTAGCACACACATTTTCTGCCACTGTATGAGCTTTTCCAGATCTTGCGATTCTGTAACTAACTCGGAATGATGCTTCAAGAGCCACTATCTGCGTTGCAAGCCGACAGGAAAGAAGAAACAGTATAATTCTTATTACCTTCCAATTTTCCTTTTAAAATATTCAATAGGTTTATCCTTGTAATCCGGATGTCTTGTTTCAAGGTGCCGACGAAGAAGCAACGGTTTAAAACTACTTTTGGCCAGGACTTCATTACAAATTACACAAAACGGTTTAGGTTCTGACTCTTCCCCGGTGAAATAAAAACCCATTTGCAAATAGTCCGTGTCGTATTTCCTTTTTTCCACCATGCTTGTCTATTCTCATTACTTTTATTCTGGCGAGAAGGTATGGTATATCTGAAGTCACTTGAAATAGCATAAAAACCTTTGGTCGGCGCGTCCTTTGTAATTTCATGACGTATCATAGGCGTGCGGTTATTTATTTAGAACGATAATAATAGTGTTTTTATATCACAATAAATGGATTTTACTATCTTCTTATTTTTTTGATTTGGGATAAAAAATACTTATATTGGGAGTTTAATTTATGTTGACTGAAAGTTAAGAAATGGAAAAATTACAGAATTCCAACGTTTGACATAGGCAAATATTTACATAGCAGGTAGGTATATAAAAAGGTATATAAAGACTTACATTATAGGTATTTATATATCATCCTCGCCTTCGGAGCTGTCGCTAGAGTCATCTTGTAGAGGAATTACAACGCGATTTACAGGAGGCAAAACACAATATTCATTTTCTTTTTCAATAATATGCCTAGAACACTGCTTCCATAGGTCTGTGGCAGCAATATGAGATACTGCATCTCTTATTGTGGCCAATAGCGATTCACTTAATTGAGGGGTCTGATTATGTTTTCTTACTTTTTTTTTAAAGCAGCCCAGACCAACTCAATCGGGTTAAAAATGCAGTAATAGGGAGGTAGACGCAATACTTCATGGCCATTTTGCTGAAGCAGATTGTCAACAACATACTCTTTTTCAAATTTTTGTCTTTTAATAAGATCCAATAATATGGCTTTGGTTGATTTTTGTGGTATTTCCATTCCCTTATCCTTCATAAAATCAATAATGTCTTGTTTTTTTGTGCCTGTATTCGGAATTTTGTTTTTCTGTCGGGAATGGTATGGCGCATTGTCCATAACAATCACTGAATTTGGGGAAATGTTTGGTATTAACTGCTGCTCTATCCACTTTTCAAATAAGTCGGAGGTCATGTCCTCATGATAGTCGGCACATGATTCTTTGATATTTTTGGCAGATAACAGCAAGGCATTAGGTATAAATTCATTTTCACTGCCAGCATGGAGAATAATGATTCGTTTTCCACGGTTGCATGGTGCATTTAAAATGCACTTGTTGCTGTCGTCAACCCAGCCGTACTGCACAACATCATGGGTATCATACCACGTTTCATCCAGGTAAATCAGATTTCTTTTCTGCTCTCTATAGATTTTAACTTTGTGCAAAAATTCTTGGCGCAAGTCAACGATTCGAGACGACTCCATAATCACCATTCTTTTATCTAATTTTTTGTATTGAAAACCACACAGTTTTACAATACAGTGCAGTGCGTCTAAGCATTTGTAATTACAAAAATCTTCAGGATAATCTTTTAATTTATCCCGTATCATTTCCAACGTGGGCACCAAATTTTCTTTATAAAATCCGTATATTATACGACGAATATCTTCCTGAAAACCCACGTCTATTCTTTTTAATTTTTGCCCTATGCGCTTTCTGTGGAAGGAATGGTTGACTACATCTCCCCTTTTTATAACCCGATAAATGGTAGACCGACTGATTTTTGTCAGGATACAAATTCTGTTTAAAATTTGATTTTGCGAGGAATCTGGATTTTCTTTTTTCAGACAATCATACATATTTAGGATTACTCTTTGGGTCTGTTCCTCTAAATCTTTATGAAAGAATTCTGCCTGCACAGGTTCATCAACCATCTCCTCGTGGCTTGGAGCATTTTCCCAAGGTCTCCAAAGAGCCATATTTAGGACACACAAGAACAATCAACACAACAATTAAATCAACAAGTAAACTGAGTATTCAAAAGTCAAAAACACACAAACTAATAAAATCTATGAGAAAACACGGACAGACTAAAGAAAACACGTTTATTCACCGCTAGACGGCACTGGCCAAACTGTTTCAATTTTCAGTAGCCACCTGCACTTGTTCGGAGCTCTGAAATACACGCTTTCTCATTGGCTATGTCCACGCATAGGCGTGCTTTACTCCACGTGGACCGGTGAAACTGCCTTTGATCTTATAATTTGGCGATTTTTGCAGCAACAGAGCGTGTTAAATATAGGTATATAAAACGCACCCGGTATTTCAGAGTGTTTCAAGTGTCTGCAGATAAAGTATACCTCACTATAACTTTCAGCCACCCTGTGTTGGACTCAAATCGGGAACCAAAGAAGAAGCGGTAGTTGATTGCTCATCTGGCTTTTCGTCAGAGTTCCCAAAACTGCCCGTTACTAACCAAGTATCCACCTTAAATTTACAGAACATCATTATATTTGTTTAAAATAAAAAAGGTCTCGGTGCGCTCGGTTCGCCGAAGTAGAACTCTTGCCGGATTGTTGTAGCGGCGGCGGTGCAATATTGAGGACTAATTCCGCCATTACCATAATTTTTTCATCAACCACCGCTTGAGAGAATCTAATCTAGATCATACGAAGCCGCATCAGAATAGATAGATCCCATTTAATACTACAAAGTCACAACGATGTGCGCCACTATACTGCAATATAGCTGGAAGGAAATACAAGTGCTTTCTTGCATTCCAGCCACACTATAATGACTGATCTAAGATATAACTGATCCTGAAAACGTTGTGTCGGTGAAAAAAATAACAGATGCCGCTTCGAAATTCCTTTCCTATTATGCTATGACGTCTGAACTAAACAAAAACAGTAAAGAAATGTAGTGGAACACGTCGATGCCGCATATAAGATTCAGCCATAGACAGGGGCATGTAAAATATCCTTTTTTGGAAACATTTTTGGTATCCGATTTTACTACTATTCATCATATCGCTGAAGACTATTCTGTATTAGGTATTAAAAATGAGACAGATTTCTTCTATTTACATCAAAAATGTTTTACAACCATCCTAAAAAAACAGAAAATTCAGGCAAACTCTGAAGTTATGTCGTGTCTCAAACATACATTTCCAAAAGCTCGAACTGACAGTAGTTTTCAAAGTATAGATGAGTCAATGGTCAATATCTTCTGTTAAAACCAATAAAGAGAGGTATTAAGATTTGGGAGAGGTGCGATTCTAACACTGAATATGCATATGATATGAACATATACAGGGTTTGTCCGGAAAGTAATAGGACTAATTTTCTTCCGCCATGACTGTACTTCGGAGCGTGCACGCACCGACTGGATTCGGTAGAGGGCGTTCTTAGCTAACGAATGAGCGTCTGGTCAGTTGTCTCCGAGCACATCTAATAGTTTTAACTGAAACGTGGCAAGTGGCTGATATTTCTTGCTTCAATCAGCAGGGATGTGACACGCTCTATAACTTTGACACTTATAACCAAAACGATGGGGTGATAGTTTTTGTAAGAAATAAACTGCAATATAATCATGATACATTCACTTTCACCGATGGAATCAAAATTTTAAACATAATGATCCAAATTAACCATAACAAAATTGAGGTATCTGCAATTTATCGTCCACCATGTTCAGAACCCCACGAGTTTTTAAAGAATATTGAATTTTTTTTTCAAAATCAAAATAAAGTTCATTTAAAGCAACATATTTTCTTGGGAGATGTCAATATAAATATTTTGGACGATGATCCCATCACAAATGAATACTTGAATATCCTATCAAGTAACGGATATCTGTCCTATATAAACCTACCTACAAGGTCCATCAGTGGCACATTTATAGATCACTGCTTTGTGAAAGACCTATCCAACAAAATTACTTGTATACCAATAATCCTAGAAAGCGATATTACTGACCACTTCTCCACTATTTTACTGATATCTTCAAATGAAAAACATTCTAACATCCCTACCGTTAGTAACAACCAGGAAAATTACAAATTTTTTGTCGACAATTCAAAACTAATATCAAATGTCAAACAAGAATCCTGGGAACAATTATACTCTATAAATAATATAGACAAAGCAACGGGACTGTTCATAGAGAAAATAAAAAAACTAATAGATGTTAGTACCAATAAAGTAATAATTAGTCACAAAGAGAAAAGCAGAAATGCCTGGATTACCAAAGGATTAATAACATCGGCAATAGAAAAAGAAAGACTATATAATGTAATGAAACTAACGCCAACTACAGAGAATAGCGACTGCTACAACCAATATAAAAATAAATTTATAGAGCTTGTAAGGCAAACCAAACGAAAACATTACCTAAATAAATTGAATAATAACTTAAATGATCCTAAGCGGCTTTGGACAACTATTGATGAGATTACTGGGAAAACAAAAGTTAAAGAGTGTGTCACTGAGTTAAATACAACATCGGGAACAGTATTAAAAAATACTCAACAGATATGCGATGAATTACTCAGCCTCCAAAAAGAACTTTGAACTCATTTATTTTGGATAAAGTCGAGCAATGCGAAGTATACACCACTGTTATGTCCTTAAAAAATCGGAAAAGTCCTGGGTTCGATGGTATTAAAAGCGAGCATTTGAAAATTATAGCCGAGGACATAACAGAACCACTCACTTACCTAATCAGCAAATGCTTTGAATCTAGCATATATCCCTCAATTTTAAAAAAAGGTAATATAATACCGATACATAAATCAGGAACAAAAACAGATGTTAACAACTAAGACCAATATCAATAATATCCAGTGTAGCAAAGGTTTTTGAAAAAGTTTTATCTACTAGAATGATTCGATACCTCACAAAATTCAAAATTCAAAATTTTAAGTGAAAATCAATATGGATTTACAGAAGGGAAGGCTACATCGGACGCAATAACTAAAATTGTAAATCAAATACATCAAAATATTGATAACAGAATCCCTTCAATCTGCATTTTTGTTGATTTATAGAAAGCTTTCGACACAGTTAATCACAAATTATTATTAGAAGCATTGGAGAGAATTGGTTTCAGAGGAAACGCGTACTCACTGATCGAAAGTTATTTGTCAAATCGCCCACAATCTGTGCAGATATCAGGATCATTTAGTAAAGAAATGTATATTAAGTGTGGTGTCCCACAAGGAACTGT